GAGATGGCGTGAGTCATTAGAAATGGCATCTTATGGAAGAAAGTTAGCTCATTAGAGTAACGCCCTTCAAGGGGAAACTTGACTTCCCCCCCCTTTCCCTATCTCTTCTGTCTCAGAACCACCATAAGGGGAACAGACTCCCTCAGACACACACAGACACACACACACACACACACACACCATGATGTTCTGCCCAACCACAGTTCAAAAGACAACAGAATCAAGTTCCATGACCAAAGCTGACTGTGTAGCAAAATAAGCTGATGTTTCTCATGTTGTTTTGTCCCAATTAAAAACAGTTCATAGGTTAGACTTTCAGTAGGATTATCTGAAGAATTAGCGGTCTTCTAAAACATTGTTTTTAAGTTGGAAAACAGCATCAAAGTTATTGACAGCCCATAGGGAGCACTCGTTAGAGTCCAGTTTGCCACATATCTGGCAGAACTTTCCTTCTTCCCTGTTCACAGTGAAATTGCTCCCTGCTAGCTAGCATGGCAGTGAGTGGGAAACACCAAACTGTGGACTGTGGGGGTCTATGGGACATACGCACTTAAGTTTCCTCAGCTGAAAATGAGCGTGCTTTGGGATGTCTATTTAGAAAAAGTAGGAGGACTCCAACCCCTGACAGTTCTAGGTTCACACCTTGTCTCCTGGAAGTCTGATTTTTGGTTATGCTGGACAGCCACATTTGCTGTTCTGCAACAGGCAGGAGCTTCAGGATTTGAAACAAAATGTTGGTCTGTCAGCCAAGGAACTGTTGATCTGAGAAGTTGCTCCCCAGAACCCAGTAAGAAGCCTTCTGACCAAGGTGAGTGAATATAGCGCACGCGCGCACGCACACACATACACACACACACACACACACACACACACACACACACACAACTCTCCCTCCCCCTCCCTTTCTCTCTCTTTCTCTCTGTCTCTGCTAGCTTTGTATCCCATGGAAGAGGAGCAGGCACACAGAGGTATTTTCTAGATGTGGGCTCCCCCAGAGAGACTATCCTTGGAGCTCATCTGTTTCCTAAATAAGCTGTCTTTTTTAACTTTTGGACTGAAAGCAAGTTTCGATGGTGTCCTTTGCCATACAGAAGCTTTTCAGTTCCACGAGGTCCCATGTATTAATGTTCTCAGTGTCTGTGATTTTGGCGTTCTGTTCAGAAAGTCTTTGCCTGTGCCCCTCTCAGGTTCAGTGCATCTGGTTTTATGCTGAGGCCCTTGATCCATTTGGAGCTGAGTTTTGTACAAGGTGATAAGTATGAATCTATTTGTGTCCTTCTATATGCAGCCATCCGGTTTGACTGACACTATTTGTAGAAGATGCTGTATTTTTTCCAGTGTGTATTTCTGGCTTCTTTATGAAAAATCAGGTAAACAAAGAAGCAGCATACAGAATTTGAAAAGATTTTTTTTTACGAGCTACACATCTGATAGTGGGTTATTATCCAAAATATATAAATTAAAAGAAACTAGACATCATGAAAGCAAATAACCCAATTTAAAAAACAAACAAAAAAAACTGGCTAGAACTCTAAACAGAATTCTTTTTATTATTATTATTTTATTTAATTTTATATAACAAAGTCCAATTAAATGAAAACAAACATTTATACACAATATTTGGGAATTTGGGCGTCATTCTTTCCAAACTACTTCCTGCTGGTAAGGGGCGCTGTCATGGGGGATTCGAAGAAGATTCAGATATCCTGGCTGTAGTCTGTAGGGCTGTTTTGTCCAGCTGTCTAAACAGAATTCTTAAAAGAGGAAATTCAAATGGGTGAGAAACACTTAAAGAAATGTTCAATATCCTTAGTCATCAGGGAAATGCAAATCAAAATTACTTTATGTCATCTTACATGAGTTAGAATGGCCAAGATCAATAAAACAAATGACAGCTCATGCTGACAAGGATGTGTAGTAGGTGAACACTCATCCATTGCTGGTGGGAGTGCAAACTTGTACAGCCACTATGGAAATCAGTGTGATAGTTCCTCAGGAAGATGGGAATTGATCTACTTCAGGATCCAGCTGTATCACTATTGGACAGATACCTCATACTACTACACAGACACTTGCTCATCCATGCTCATTGCTGCTCTATTCATAATAGCTAGAAATTAGAAACAAAACATTACTAGATGAATGGATGAAGGAAATGTGATACATTTCACAGTGGAATATTATTATTCAACCATTAAAAAAACGAAATCCTGAAATTCACAGGTAAATGGATGGGACTAGTTAAAAATCATCCTGAGTGAGGTAACCCAAACCCAGAAAGACAAATATGGCATCTATTCACTTATTTGTAGATGTTAACTGTTAAGTTATTGTTAAACAAGCTAAAATCCATATACCCACAGATGATTATGTACAGAATAAGAGACTGGGGGAGGGACGGATCTCCCTAGATAGTTATGGATGGACAAGGGCAGGGTAGGGTACTGGAAAGGGAAGATCAGATGGGGAGAGGGAGTAGGGTCCAAATGAAGGAATACAAGGAGGGACTTCTAAAATTAAGAGCCATTTGAGGAGTCATGTGGAAGCCTAATATAATAGAAACCACCTAAAATTTATTCATATGTGAATGCAGTCTAAATGAAATCATCAAATAATGGTGGAGACAGAGCCCCAACTGTACAATTACCAAACAAAGCTTCCAGTACTGGAAATGGGTTACATCTAATTAAGTTGTTGGCCAAAGACCCCCAAACAAGAGAGATCATTGCCAAGGCTATTGGTTGCACTCTTCAAACTGAAGACAACACTGACATGACTCATTGAAGTCACGCTGGTGCCTGTATAAAGCCTTTACCCCGTTCATGATACTGGACTGTACTCTCCATGCTATCAAAGGAGAAAAGTAAACACCAGCTGCAAACTTTTAAGACTACAGTGGTGATCTTCATGCAAGATATTCTGGTTCAATAGTGGTGCAAACTTGTGGGAGTAACCAACCAATATCTGATTTTATTTAGGGCCCATTTAATGACATGGAACCTATACCCAATACTCTTGGATTACCAAGATCCTGCTGGGTGAGGAACCTAGGGAAAAACCAAATACTATTGTTCTGCTAAAGGAACATAGCAATAAAATGACTACTAGTGGCAATCTTCTGTACTCATACATCAATCCCTTGCTCGGCCATCATCAGAGAACCACAGCCAGACGATATACAGAGAGTGAGAGTCCTTGGCATACTCAGCCATAAAAGGAATGTCTCCATTGAGTTCCTCCCCTCAGGGATCTGGGAAACTCTGCAGAAGAGGAAGTGGAAAAGGTATGAGAGCCACAGGGGATGCAGGATAACAAGGAAACAAGTCTTTCTAAACACAAAGGACCAGTGCACATATGAACTCACGGAGACTGAGGCAGCATGCACGGGGCTTGCGCAGGTCTATACCAGGGTCATAGAGCTGAAAGGAGAAGTAGACACATGTCCCATCCCTAACCCAGAATCTATCTCCAATTAATGGCTACTTGCAAATGAAAAATTAGTTTTCTTCAAGGGAGTCTCACAGAGGAAACAAACCACACTTTAGGGCAGGTCTCATGCCCATCAATATAGATGGCTAGTACAGAATGAGCTCAGTGGCATCTTTGAAAGCTCTTAATCTCATAACATAAAAAAAACTTACAGGTCCTTAGACTATATATTATGGCTTCCAGTTTTATTTTTATGGGATACCTGAGGGTGCAAATGTGTATGTCTCTGTCTATGTGTGTCTCAAGCTATTTTTGGCTCTTCTTCATTGATTGGTGTTTTTTTTCTGTACTATTTTGATTTGTTTGCTTTTATTTTATTATTATTCTTTAGTTGACTGGTTGATATCTGATAAGAGACAGAAAGGATGTGGATGGAAGGAGAGATGAGGAGGATCTCAGAGGAGATAGGGGAAATGAGAAACCATAATCAGGGTATATTGTATGAAAAAAAATCTGTTATCAATAAAAGGAAAGAAAAATGAAAGCAAGTTTTGCATAATTTATTTAACCAAGTTAGATAAATGCACTTGTTTTGCCTCGTGAAATTTCTTTCCATACCATTGTATGAATCAGAAAACACAAAAAAACCAGAGACTCAATGAGTGTCGACTTTATGGTGAAATTCTCAGCAGATCTGAGAAAAACACATCTATGGGCATTTATTTCTTCTTTGTAAAAGAGGTTTAAAAAGAATAATAATAATAAAAAAATACCAATTCAATGTCAAAAACTGTAGAAACCACACTCAGTTTATAGGGCCACTGTTAGTAAAACTGGCAAAATAATAACATTTGTAATTATTCCCGTAGCATTTTTGAGAAATGTAAATAAGTAGGATTGACTGCATCTCTGAGAATGTTCTCTTATACAGGGAATTCTTTCAAGCTTATTTTATGATTTTATATTTGCTGAGCAAAATAATACCCTTCTCTCCCCCTAGCTAGGTCTTGACACATTCAATTCTAAAACCAGTAATTTGAATCTTTATAAAATTACACATTGAAAGCAGAATGTTGCAACTATTAGTTCTCAAAAAATGAGGGGAAATACCTTGAAATCAACCCAGGTCAACATTTACATATTCAAACTCTCTGTCACATCCATATGTGAACGTGGCTTTTGCCGGTGTCCTTTCTTGACTCATGAGGAAGTTGTATGCATGGCAGACTTCAGCAATTTTGTTTCTTTAATAAGTGTAGCAAATAGGGAACAAAAACAAGATAAAAGGTTTTATTCTAGACCATTTCCTCCAGCATAATTTCAACTTTCAAATTATAGGAACAGAAATGAATGTCCTACTTCTGTGTTAGAAGTACTTGACTACTTTGTGGGATGTTTTGTGCCAATTCTTTACTAAATTATCTTGGTCGCCGTTGCTAGGTAACACCACTGGCTTCCTGCAGCTGAAAAATGAAAGGGTTAGAGGGAGCAATTCGGCATTATTAGCATTTGACTAATAAGTTGGTTTTTTTTTTTTAATTGTATGTCTTAGCATTTCCCTCTCTTTCTAGGGAAGGTCATTGTCTATGGGAATACAATTGACGCTTACACAACAGTGGAGACACTCTTATACATTGGCCTGAAGGGGAACTGCATCTACTTTGTGCATCCCCCAGATGATTCAAACATAACCTGTATCAACAACTATGCGATAGAGAATGCTGTGGAAGATGCAATCAGAGCAGCCGGAGTGACTGTCTATCAGGACTCACTGTTGGCTCAGTGGAATGATGGCCAGGACCCAGATCCCATCCATAGTGCCTGCTTCACCACTCCCACAAAACCTTTCAGACTGGAGTGTTCAGTAAGTCCATCCCCGTGAACCACACTCACCGGCCACCTTGGGAGAGGGCTAACCTCCCAGGGATTAGGGACTCTGAAAGATGTCAGCAGAAAATTTATGGTCATAGACTTGGAGTATGTTTTCAAACTCTTTGGCAGGGGTGGGGTTCACCCAGAAGCAAGAAGCTTCTACCAACATGGTGACTTAAAACAGTTTATTATCACTACTAATTACTCCCAATTGAAGGTTTGTCTGACCCAACTAGGCAGTTCACAGGAGATTTATTGCATGTCTAAATTAAGACCGTAGACAGAGCTGGAATCATTTAGAAGGCACATTTACTTTTCTGGCTATAGATGCTGGATCAGCTTCCGCTGAGACTGTAGCTGTTTCTTGAGCCTGGGCTTTGTTAAAACACAGTGATAGTTCTGAGAGCAAATGGAACAGAAACTAGAGTGTCTTAGACCAGGCCTCGCTAACCAGTCAGTATCTCTACTACCACATTGTTTGCCTGCAGACAAGTCGTTCTGCCCACTGCACATCAAAAGGGAGGGAATTAACCTCACTGAGTGAAGGCCATCCCCAAAGGGCTAAAGTGCCAGGTGCTGGAAAGGTATCGTCTCTATTCTGCTCTCTTACAGCACACTCCAGCAGGGATACAGTAGGAACCTAGGCCCATGGGCAACCCCAGACTTGAAGTCGCAGCAGCCCTGCTCATGGGTTTACAGGTCTGACACAAGAGACTCCACTGACCAGGGAGGAAGCTGCTGCAGCTGAGCCTGACACTGACCAGCCCAGGGCTCATGCACTCTACAGGCATGGACCCCTCATTACCTGAGATAACCTGGTGGGAACTGCAAGCAAGGGTTTTCATGTGCAAGATGCCCTCTTTCTTTCTTTGTTCCTGAAGCCACTGCCACTGCCCAGCCAGGTTTTGGTCACGGCTGTATCCTTTCCCTGGAGCAGATGTTCTGAGCAAGAGCTTGCATAGCTCTCTGGGCTTGGTCTCCTTTTGACCATTATGTGACCTAAGATCCCAGCTCAGATAGCTCCATCCCTTCATGGAGGGAGTGTCCTGAACATGGTGAGGCCTGAGGTCTTTAGAAACTGTCGTATCTGTTATTTACTGCATTCACATATTCGCTCCACAGATATTAATGGGAAACTAAATGGATCCCAGACTTTATCTTGTTGCTTCAGGATCTAGCAGTGAGAAAGAAACTTACATTGTCTCCACTTACATATTGTGCTTATCTCAGATGAGGGCAATTGAGAATGTTTCAACCTCAAATTTCTACCCCCAACCATGATCCTAGAAGATTGTAAGGTCTTCCTGGGGAACCTCAGGAGATAGGCTTAATTTTGTTAGTGTGTTTTAGCATTATTTTGGAAGATGATGGTTTATCATTTTGTTACCATTGTGGAGGTTAGATACTTGAGATCCACTCACCTTGTGAAATGATTAAGGTGATGCTCATTCCTTCTGTGTTTATCTTAAAAGGCTGGTGTGAGGTTGATGTTACTTCTTTGAATATTGAAAAATTAGCTGGTGAAACTATCTGGGGATGGAACATACAGCATAGGAAAGGTTTTGATAACAAATTCAATTTCTCGACCAGATATAAGGGTACTTGGATTTTCTATTTCTTTTATGTCAATTTTGACAGATTATATTGTTTAAGTAATTTATTTGTTTCATCTAAATTGATCAAAATTGGTGGCATTAGGCTAGGGAGGTGACTCAATTAGTAAAGTATTTTCCATGTAACCAGAAAGGCCTGAGTTTGGATCCCAGCACACATGTAAACGGCTAAGTATGGTGTTACATGCCTGTCATCACAGTGCTGGGTTCGTGGAGATGGGTAGATCCAGACAGTCATGGAAGTCAAGTTGACCACCTCCAGATTCAGCAAGAGACCCTGCCTCAAAAAATAAAATGTCACTATTTCCTTGATGGCAGCCATTGTTGCTGCAGTGAGATATCATCTCAAAGCAGTTTTACTTTGCATTTCTTTGTTGCCTAAAAATGTTGAACACATTTTCAAGTATTTATTGGTATTTTCTATTTCTTCTTTTGGGAGCTGCCTTTACAGATTATCATCACGTTCCTGTCACTCTTTCTATACCAGAAACTTCCGTTAGCCACATTTAGCTTTTTAAGTCTTTGAGCTAGTAGAGTTCTTTTGCTTTCCATCTCCACACTCCCCAAATCATCACCCATGGGATGACTAATGTTTTACCCAGGTAGATGTCTCCAAGTGTACTGAGACTGTAAAAACCAACCACACCACTGAAATCAGTATAGACTGGACCCATCCTTATACCTTCAAGACCTTGTGGTTTTTAATCAGCCTGATGGAGGCACACCGCTGTGGGCAGTACACCTCTGGGTGTTGGGAGTCCTCAGCCTCTGCAACAGTGAATGCCAGATAGAGCTATCAATCTGCAGTTGATTTCACCTGTTCTTGGCCACTGAGTGTGGGGTTCTCTTCTGAGCACTTCCCAGTCTGAGAAAAGCCTCCTGCCATCCTCTAGTCAGGGTCTATCCGTCCTGCTCTCCACAGCTGCCTCTCTGAGCCTTCCCTCACCCAGTGACTGTGGCAGCACAATTGAGGCTCCATGAAGATAGAATCCACCACAGCCTAATTCATACTATGTTATGAAGTGGGACTTAATTCTACTAACTGGCACACGTCCCAGAGAAATCATTGTCTTCTAAAAACAGTGACCGGGTTTGAGGCTGTGGTGGCTGTGGGCCTTTCCTGAGACTAGGACCATTGTTCATCTTCCATCTGGCTTCTCTTCCATCTCCCCATGACAGGGAAATGTGGCCCAAGGATACATTATGGTTACTGCTCTGCATCCAATTTTGTTGTTATTGTTGTTTTTCTGCCTTTTGCAGGTACATTTCCACTTCCTTTGTGGATTTCCAAGGCCTTCCGTTCTTCAGAATAGAGACTTATTATTATTATTATTATTCTGATTCTGCGTCACCAGCCACCTTATCTGGAAGTCTCCCACCTCATTTGTTTCTGACACTGATGAATTGTGTTCCGTGCCCATTCCTCTGTGCCTCACTCTGCCTCTCTGTCTCCCTCAGCCTGAAGTGGAGATCTGTCAATTTTATTGATGTTTTTTCCAAGATAAAAATCAAAGCTTTCTTCTCAATAAAGACAGTAGTCTACGGGTTTTTTTCTCTATGAATCTTCTGTTTGTATTGGATCTGCTCCGTCCTTCTCTTTTCTGGTTTTGTAAGGAAGACTCTTAAGTCATTGACAGCATTTTTGTAAGCCCTAAATTTCCCTCAATGTTTTAACTCTCAAAATTTGAACATGTTTAATATTTTACTAGAGCTTTGTCAAAATATTGTCTGCTTCCTTATGATTCTTCATTGACCCTGGATTATGTATCATTTGGTTTCCATATATTTCAGGGTTTCCTACACACCGTATTTTTTTATTCATTTCCAAATCAATACTGTTTGTTATTACCCAATCTTTTAAGAATTATTGGAATGTTTTGTGTCTAAGTATGTGTAGAATTTTGTCTACATAAGGAATAATTGTTCAGAACTATTAAACACAATATTTATATAAATAATAATTAGTTCCGTGTGGTTGATATTGCTGCTGGATTCTTTTTACTGATATTTCACCAATGCTTTGGGTCTAAATACAGTAATTGCTGGGAGCAATATACTAAAATTAATCGTTATCTTAGAACTTTCTAATTTTCTCTTTAACTATACTAAACTTTCTTTTCCTTTATTTGTTCTGCTGGTAAGCCCATGAGCAGTTACAATTTTGATATCTGCTTTGTGTGTTGTGGCCCTAAACTATGGAATATACTGCTGTATCTCTTGATAGTATTCCTTATCTTCAGCTCCCTTATTTATATTAATGTGGCCATTCTATCTTTTTTTTTATTTATTACTAGCATTGTATGTTTTCAGATCGCTTAACTTTGTTTTATATCTAAAGAATGTCTTTTGTAAGCATCACTAAAAATATTACATAAGTATCTTATGACTGCCTAACAAATATAGCAGCCAAAAACATTGATTTGTGGGCTCGGTGTTAGCTCTCAGCTCCTAGAGGCCTTCTTAATTCTTAACCACATGACCCCTTTCTTTATAAGACTCAGTATGGAGAATCGCCCTCCTGTCAAATTTACCACATTTTGAATCTTCTACAAGAAAAACTTAGAGGGTCACTTGATTAGGTCAGACTCACTGAGGGTGATCTCTCTTTCTGAAAGTCAACTATGCCAAATAATACCACTACATCAGAGTCATAGCCCATCCTAGTACTCAGAGAGCTAGGTGGGAACCTTAGTGACTATCTTAGTTAGCATTCTCTCTATCACATGCTTTTATCCTTTCTGTCTCCGTGTTTTAATTAAAATCATTAGACCATTAGTATTTAATGCAATTACTAATGTAGTTAGATTAGGCCTGCCATTTTGTTTTCTGTCTGCTATTCACCCCCATGTTTCCTGTACTTTTCTGCCTTATCTGTTTCCTCTTGGGTTATTCTTTTTGAATATTCTAATTCAAATGGCCTTTAAACTACACCTTATTCAGTTTTTTTTAATGATTTACCTATGGATGTATAAATAGTCTTTCACCTCAATACAGTTAGTATTGCATTTTATAAAATATTTTTAAAAAGCTTGCAGCAATACAGATCCTTCTTCCTACACACTAGACATCCATTTTGTTACACTCATTCTATATATTATACCTATGAACATTGAAAATAAAACAAGACCATGTTAGAATTTTTATTTTAAACAAATGTTTATATACTTGCATGTCTTAATTAGGGTTTCTATTGCTGTGAAGAGACACTGTGATCACAGCAACTCTAATAAAGGAAAACATTTCATTGAGTAGCTCAGAGTTCACAGGTTCAGTCCATTATCATCATGGTGGAACATGGCAGTATGCAAGCAGGCATGTGCTAGAGAGGTAGCTGAGTTTTACATATTTTGCAGGCATCAGGAAGTGGTCTGTTTTGCTGAGCAAAGCTTGAGCATATATGAGACCTCAAAGCCCACCTCCACAGTGACACTCTTTCTCCAACAAGGCCAAGCTTACTCCAGCAAGGGCACATCTCCTAATAGTATTACTACCTTTGGGGGCCATTTTTCTTTCAAATCACAATGCATATAGCTAGGCACACGTGTGTGTTCATGTATGTGAGTGAGTGTGTGCTGATGGTGGAGGTGTGTGTGTGTGTGTGTGTGTGTGTGTGTGTGTGTGTGTGTGTGCTGATGGAGAGAGAGAGTCTTAAATAACTTTGTCTGGCCTTCATTTCTCTGAGTAGCTGAGAATGACCTTGAACTCCTGATCCTTATGCTTCCACCTCTTAAAGTGCTAGGATTACAGGTGTGAGCATCAATCCTTGGTTTACACAGTACTGAGGAATAAGCCTAGGGCTCTTTATATTCAAGACAAGTGCTCTACCAACTGAGTTATATCCCCCACTGCCAGCCTCATGTATGTAGAAACGTAATTTAGGTATACCCAGACATTTTTTTCTCATTTTTGTGTCTCCTTTCTTTCTGAAAATACAGGTCTCCTTTCACTTAAACAACTTCTGTTAGTGCTTTGTGTACAGCCTGTCTGATGGAAGGAAATACATAAAGTTTTTTCTCTATTTGAAAAACATGTTTACTTTGATTTCTTTCTTGAGGAATGTTTTTACTGGATATAGAATTTGGGGCTCACAGGTCCCTCATCAACTTTGAACCTGTTTCTTGCAATGTTTCAATATTGTTGCATTTTGATTGAAAGCTATTCTGCATTGAAGATATTGCTCCCCTTTAGACATAATGCATTGTTTCCTTTGTATGGCTTCAGGAGTTTCTCTTTGTCTTTGATGTCCAAAGTTTGATGCAGATGACTTGTGCTTATTGTGTTTTAATTGTTTCATCCTACCTGTGGTTCACCAAGTTTCTTGTGTCTATAAATCCATGTCTTTCACTAAATTTTAGCAAATTCTTGGCCATTACCTGGCCCCATTCTTCTGTCAGGCCTTAATTAGATCCCCAATTATATATTGTATTTCCTGAAACTTTAAAGTCATACTAACTTGTTTTTATAGAATTTTCTCTTTGTTCTTATAACCAGAAAAATCTGTTGATATTACTTCAAAATTTACCAACTCTTTCCTTTATTAGACCACAAAATGCCTATAACCCATCCTCTTTTAAAAGCTTCCAAATATGGGAAATTAGTCCCATGCTGATCATTACTTCAGTGTTTTATGGTAATACACAATCTCCCCAACTTTAGTAGTTAGGACCCTATGTAGCAGTCCTTCTAGTTTGCCTGGAGTTTGGAAGACCCAGTCTCAAGTTATTGTGCCACTATTTCAGAAGTAGAAGTTCCTCAAAAATGGTGAAAAGAACAAACCAACAGTAGACATGGTAACACCAGACCTGGGGGTAATACTCATACTCTAGGGAGGTAGAGTCAAGTGGACCACTGGTGCTCACTGACTAACTGGCCTAGCACACTCAGTTCTAGATCAGTCAAAGAGACTGTCTCAAAATGGTGAATGTCTACTAGTAGATAACTTCAGAGGCTGCTCTCTGACCTCCACACACATGCACAGACATGCAAACACACACACACACACACACACACACACACACACACACACACACACACACACTAAATGAATACAGATTTGAAAACAAACAAATAGAAATTGGTGTTTTACCCTACATCAAAGGGTTACCTATTCCTGTCCTGTAGCCACGCCTCTTGGGTTCCTGGCAGTTGTGCCAATCTAAACCCCAGCTAGTAGCTCTCAAGAAAGTCTTCCTTGTTTATTGATATCCATCTGCTCAATTTCATAGTAACCTCCATATTTATTTTTTTCAACAAGAGATCCCTGTGGCCTTGACAAGTATCTAGAGGAAAGTATCTCTTGAAGAATGCAAATGAATGAGGCTTATCAAACCTCTGCTAGATTTGCTGGTTAATTTCTCAGTGCAGAGTTACTGCTGTAAAAATTCAACAGCAGCCAAAGTTGTGAATACTCTAGAACAGTGTGGGTAACAGCACACAGTGTTGATAAACTTAGGGCTAAAAAATAAAATTGTTACAAGCAGTTTTCCCACCAGGCTGGTCCCAGAGACATGCCAGCCCCAAATAACACACAGAGACACAGTATTAGATATAAATCTGTTGACCAGTTACTAGTGTTTCTTATTGGCTAGCTCTGTCTTATAATATTAATCCATTTCTATTAATCTAAGTGTTTCCACGTGGTCTTATCTTACAGGAGAGAGGGTCTGGACCACTTCTCTCATGTCCTGCATCTTGACTTTCTACTACATCTCCCAGAATCCTCCTTGTCTCCTAGTCCCGCCTATCTTGCTTTCTTATTGGCCAATAGTGCTTTATTCATTAATCAATAAGCAAAACATATTTACAGAATGACATCTTCCATTATAAAGTAAAATATTAATCTTTGTTAAATGTGTTACTTAACAACTAATAAAATTTAGAAAAAGAAACTGTCTTAGTTAGGGTTTCTGTTGCTGTGAAGAGACACCATGATCACAGCAACTCTTATAAAGGAAAATATTTAATTGTGGCTTGCTTAGAGTTTCAGAGGTTTAGGCTTTATCATCATGAGGAGCATGTCAGCGTGCAGGCAGACATGGCTACATCTTGATCAGAAGGAAAAAGGAAATTAACTGAAACACTGGGAAGTATCTTGAGCAAAAGGAAACCTCAAAGCCTACCCCCACAGTGATACTTGTCCTCCAACAAGGACACACTTACTCTAACAAAGCCACACCTCCTAATAGTGCCACTCCATATGAGCTTATGGGGCCAGTTACATTTAAATTACCACAGAAACTAAGAGGTAGAAGGACTTTTGTGGAGAATTTTCTAAAATGTCAAAGAATCAAGAGGTGAAGGACAGTATTTTTATGTATAATTTGAATTTGTCACATACCTTTCTCTACATTTTTTTTTTGAGACAGGGTTTCTTTGTGTAGCCTTGGCTGTCTTAGAACTAGCTCTGTAGACAAGGCTGGCCTCAAACTCACAGAGATCAATCTCCCTCTGCCTCCCAAGTGCTGGCATTGAAGGCATATGCCACCATTGCAAGGCCTCCATTTTTGTATAGATAGAAATTTAGGTTACCTAAGTGGGGAAAGAGAAGGAGAGAATGAAAGGTGTATAGGACAGAGGTTCAGAGTCAGAGACAGACTCAGAGAAATGAATGTCCCTTTCCACTCTCCCAGGGCAGGAAGCAGTAGAACAAGAGCCAGCCTGGTAGACATGCATGGCTCTTACTCTCTAGGACATCCTTCAATGACATTACTGGGCTTAAAGCATGACAAGATGGTTGAGGCATCAGCCTGGTAACCTACGTTTGATTCCCAAAAGTCACATTATGGTTGAGCAAACTGACTCCCACAAGTCGTCCTCCAGCTCCACATACAAGCTATAGAATGCACATATTCAAGAATACCTACAAGTAACATAAATAAATGAGATATAATTAATTTTTTTTTAAGATTGCTGGATTTTAAAACTCTTCAGTGGGACACTCTGGAGATTCTAGAGAAGGTGAAGTAACTCCAAGAAGGCAGCTTGAGAGACCTGAGTCAGACACAAGAAAAGGACAACAGTGGAAATTTCTTAAGTGTTGAAGAACAGGGGAAACATGGCCTCTACATCACAGGGCAAAAGTATTCATTCCTGTGCTTGTGCTTCCCTTACTTGATATCTTTCTTCCTATTGAATATATAAACTGAATGATAAAGGGTGGTGTAGGATTACTTTCATATGTTCTTCATATCAAAGGTCTGTCATCTCCTCTGCCGTCCTTCCCTCCAAGCTCCCCCTCTCCATCACATAGAGTTATGATAAACTTTTAGTTTATTCTCTGTACTCTGAAGACTGTCCACACTCTGGGGCAGGTGAAATAAAGATCAGTGACTGGGAGAGCACATGCCTAACTTAGTGATCTCCAGCAAGGGACACAAAAAGAAATAACAGATTGTCCTAGTTACTTTCCACTACTCTGAAGAGACATCATGACCAAGGCAACTTACAAAAGAAAATATTTAATTGGGGCTTGTTTTCCGTTTCAGAAGGTAAGCGTCCATAGCAGTGGGCAGGCAGTCATGGCCCTGGAGCGTGGTATATGAGAGCTTATATCTGATCTACAAGTGGGAAGCAAAGAGAGAGAGAGAACTGGGAACATTGTGGACTTTTCAAATAGAATACCCCCAGTGACAACACCTCGTAATCCTTCCCAAACAGTTCCATCAGACAAGAGTTTGTGGGGGCCACTCTCACTTGAGCCACCACACGAACTGATAATGTGATTTTCTTCACTTTGTAGGCATTCTTCAGCTTTCACAAGAAGAATGTGGATTATGAAACATTCAAAGCCTTTAATGATGCGTGCCTCGTCTATGATGGCCAACTTGTGATTGATACCACCTTCCACACCAATGACATAGCCATCAGAGCTGCAGGCTCCCTCACTAAATTCTCTAACCGGTATTACTCAAATGAGTGGACTCACAGCAACTTCAGTTCCAAAGAAATTGGATTCCAGCTGGCAGCAGCTATGCTCAGTCTCTTTGACCCAACCCTTGAACCTATGACGGAACCTCCAGCTGACCTCGACCGGCTCATCCCCATGTACAAGGGAGCCAAAATCCAAGGTATATAGAAGACCCCCTTTTTTGATGAGGCCAGTGTTCATGTTTCTCTTAAACATAGCTCCTTGGCCTTTAGTGGACTGACTGTCTTGCAGGTAGAATAGGAGTCTCTCTTACATCTTCAGTACTCAATATAAACTGGTAATATCATTATTGTGGATCTTTGAATACTTGAACCTGTTCTGGATATAGAACCCAGAAGAAACTGCAACAAGGTGCTCTGAATCATTGGGTGGTCCAGGCCATTCATTCCCATTGGAGATACTTTCAGGTGGTCTTCCTTGGTCAAATGTTATTTTTCTTAACCAAGAATGAATCCACAGCCTCTCATTTGCTGTGGAAACAAAAGCAACACCTCTTCTGCTAAGTAACATATCTTTTGACTTAAATTTTGGAATCAAGGCCTTTTCAAATATATAGGTTGGATTAATCCAGCAGCGTTTCTAATCAAGTGTGTTTTAGCAGCCATTGCTCCTTCCTCAGCAGTCAAACAATTCAAAGACAGCACAATAACATACAGTATCCAGACTCTTTGTGAACTTTCCATCTTTACATGGCTTTTGTTGTTGTTGTTTGCTCTATTTCTTTTATTTTAACTTTATACTTTTTGTTTTTCTGAGACAGGGTTTTTCTGTGTATCTTTGGCTGTAGACCAGACTGACTTTGAATTCAAAAAGATCCATCTGCTTTTGTCTTCTGAGTCCTGGCATTAAAGGTGTGTACCCACCACTGCCTAATCTGTATAGCTTGAGGCTCACTTTGCTTTCTGAATCCTCAGGCAAGCTTTAATATATCATAAATTTATGCCACCACATCTTGTCCTAAATTCCCATCCTTGCTATAAGTTTATAGTTGAAGAGACCCTTCCAGGCAGCCCTTCCCTTAGCCTTCTGTCTTTAAACATTACATTTACTTCTTTGTTATTTTTCTGTGTGTGATTGTGCTGCCCTCAGGTGCTGTTCACCACCTTGTGTAGTGCCTGTGGAGGCCCAGAGAGGGCATGGAATACCATGGAACTGGAGTTATAGGCAATTGTTAGTCACCATAGGGGTGCTAGCAACCAAACCCCCTTCCTCGGCATGTTCTTTATCATGCATCACCTCTCTAGCCTCTGTAGCCCATTGTCTTCATGGTTAGACGCAGCCTTTTACAGAGCTGTGAAATAGCCCATTTTCACTCCCTAAGCCTTGGTGAGCCCTAGGAAGATGATTTTATGTAAGACAGATTATTTTTTTTATTTATTTCATGCTTAACTTATTCCTTCACCTCAAGCTTTTGTTTCTCTATTTTCTTCAGCAATATCTTTTTCTTCTGTACAACCTTCTTCTCTTCCTGCTTAGAAACAATTTGTTCCTTTTCAATGGCGATCATTTCCATGTGGAAAGAGGAGCTCATGTATAGGTTAATGCAACCATGAGCTCTACAAGTTCATAGACATGTCTTAGGTTGGAAATGTCTTGTTGACTTGGATACAGTCAATGACTAGAAATCTAAATCTAACCTGTTTAAGTTCAGCATTACTCTCTGCAGCTTTAATAATGTACAGAAGGAATTCAGCTCTCTTTGGAGGCCATCAACCTCATGTCCAGCCCTAGTATTTTATTTGGGCACAGGTAGTTGGTGACTTTTTACTCTTTGGCTCTTTTGGAGGCCCACCATCCAGCTCCCAAATAAACCATATGGAGTTTTATTCTTTCTTATGAATGCCTGGCCTTAGCTTGGTTTTCTTCTTGTCAGCTTTTCTTAATTTAAATTGTTCCATATAACTTTTGACTCTGGGATTTTACCCAGAGTCTGTATACCTTTCCTTTCCTTCTTATTCCATGTCCCTTCTTTTCTCTCTCCTTGAACTTCTTCTCCCCAGATTTCTCCTCCTATTTATTCTCTCTACCTGCCAGCCCTGCCTATCCTTTCTCCTGCCTTACCATTGGCCTTTGAGCTTTCTATTAGACAAATCAGGTGTTTTAGACAGGCAAAGTAACACAGCTTCACAGAATTAAACAAATGCAACATAAAAGAATAGAACGCATCTTTGCATCATTAAACAAATGTTCCATAACATAAACAAATGTAACACATCTTACAATAGTATTCCGCAACAGGTACATCTACCAACTCTACCATTATATTGCACATTGTTCCTTCAAGATGACATTATTCAGATACGTGGTGGCTTTTAGAATTTGCATACCTTTGGTGGCCTGGGTAGTTTCATGGGTATTCCAAAATGATTTTGATCTGCCTGATTTTATAGGGTTTTCATAGGTCACCTCTGGCTGCCCATGGAAGAGGAAGACAGGAATTTTTATGTTGGGAGGAAAAGACAAAGAGAGAAGGGCTATTTTAAAACTGTGTTTTAAAATGTTTATGGATCATCCCACCAGGAAAACACACATATTACAGAATTTGATGTTCAGTTCTGGGAGGTTCACAGACTACTAACCTGTAGAGCATGCATGCATAAGGCCTGAAGATATTTATGAAACCTGATCTAGTAAATGGAACACCAGGCCAAGAATACCAAAGCCCACATTCCACTCCTGCCTTCCTCTCTCAAAGGAGATGTTTTAGGGAGGTCCTGGTCCTCTCTTCTGGGTAGGACTTTAGGAAGTGACCTCAGGCAGGTAAGAGAACAGAGGGGCCTCAAAGACTACAGCTTGGTCAGATTATCTTCAAAATATTAAGGACTTTATTATAATAATTATTTTCTAAGGCATTAAGCAAGGGGCTTTGTTAATTTTTCATATAAAATGTGGTTTTTAATGTTTTGGTTATTTGGAAGAGTATGGGAAGTAGGAACGCTATGGTAACATTCTGGAGCTCTTGGTCTTGTTAGGTGGTGGTGAGTTAGTGACAGACAAATGGAAAGACAGAAACTTCATTCTCCCAGTTAGAGTACAGGGAGGTGTGAGAAATCAGTGGGGTACATCTTTGCACATCTTGCATGGGTGGCTATATTATTTGGTACACTAGTTCCATCATATTGATTCCATTAAATAAAGTTCAACCACCCCAGGGCTTTCCTTCCTAATTGGCCATACTTTTGCTGGAGTTTCATGAGCGGACACATTGTAGTCTGTTCGTCCTTTGATGAAATATAAACTAATAGTTCATTTCTGATGTGGATACCTGTCATTTCCTCTAGGTGGCATCCTTCCTGGGTCTTATTATTATCTGCATATTGCCAAACCTGCCATCCCAAGTCCCTTGGATGTTCAAAGGTCACAGCCTGATTTTGTAAGTGTTGATCGATCTTGAGTTTTACTTTACTTCTGGTCATAATATTTAGATTTATGGGAATGTAAAATTTTTGACTCAAAGCCATTGGTTCACAAGTCATGCTCTCACTATGCATGTCAACATTTAAAATGGCCCCTAGAGTCTTTGCTCCTCACACCATCATGTGGTCCATGCCCAATGGGAGCAGAGCTGACTGGTGTAGCCTGCAGGATGTTGTGGAGATGATAGTCTGTTGTTTTCAATGCTGTATCAACATCACAACAATATTATAATTTCACCTTGTCCCTTTGCAGATAATCAGCTGCCATAGTGAAAGTTTTCCCAGGCAGCCCTTTGGTGAGGTCTGTATGGTAAATAATGCCTAAACCAGCTGTTTGAGTTACCTGCCTTAGAAGGAGGTCCTCTAGTATCATTCAAGCTTTTGGATGGCTGTTGCTCCTGCAAAGATCTTGACTGAATGCCTGTGAGATCTTGAATTCCCAGTTGAGCCACCCCCAGTCTCTAACTCCCACAGATCATGAGATAATCAAATTTAGTGTTGCTTTACTATATGTTTTCTTTGATAGGCTTTTTAAAAGTAGTTTTAATTTTATAACAAACTCAAGAAAAGTTACAGAGATGTTCTAGATACTCCTTATTCCTCGTCCCTCATGGCATAGTCACCAGCCACAACTATTTACATTCCCTAGCAAAGTGACCCAGTCATCAGGACTGGCGGCCTTCATCAGCACATCGCCACCAGCATACCCCATAACTTTCATTGGGATCCAGTCTGGGTATAATACATTCCAGAGGCTCTTGACAGCTCATCCACCATCACAGTGATAAGAATAGTAATTAGCCTACTAAAACCCGCTCTGGTCACAGTGATAAGAAGAGTAATTAGTACATATGACAGCTTTGGAGACAATAAAGAAAAGACACAGAGTGGGTTTTAGTAGGCTAAAACACCTAACAGTAAGCAGCTTATGAAAGGAAGGGTTTATTTGGGCCCACAGTTTGAGGACACAGTCCTCAGGACAGGGAAGGCAAGAGCTTGAGGCAGTAGTCACGTTGCATGCACAGTGAGAAAGCAGAGAGGAGATGCTCATGCTTGACTGGCTTTCTCCTTTGTATACAGTACAGGGCCCCAGCCCCTGAAATGCTGCCTCCCCATGTTTAGCGTGGGTCTTCCCCAATCAGCCTAATGTAGACGCTCCCTCCCAGACATGCCCAGTGCTTTGTTTCTGTGCTGATTTTAAACCCCACCAAATTGACAATCAAGGTTAACTATCGAATCACATAACTGGAACCGCAGGAAGTGGCCTTTGAGATTAGCTTGTTTCAGCTAGTAGAATATGATATCCCATTGTCTAGGTGAAACACAGTTTATTTATCCATTTACCTACTGAAGATCAGTAAGCCATAGTTGTTACCTTTTGATATACCACCACACTACGGACATCTGCCTTTGTGACACCTGAGAAAGCAGATTCTTTGGATCAGGAGTGGCCACCAGGCCCAACAGTTTTCCTCCCCTCCATGATTTACATAGAAAGGCCACCTGGGAGAGGTGGGAGCTGTGGGTGGGGCTTCTCATCAGCTGGTCAGTTGGAGAGTTCCTCAAGGAAGCTCTTCTGACAGATGGTCCCAGACTGGGTTCTTAGCAAATGGTGACTCACTTTCTTGCGTGTCACACTTGATATTCCCTTACTGGAGCAAAGCCTCTGTTCCCATCACCATCTGAACATTTTTAAGAGTTACTGACATGACCAACTTAACATAAGGGTATTTCTCAGGTTTTTCTCAGAAGGAGGGCTAGCCACGTGGGGGGTTCTGGTCAATCGGGGGTATAAGTCAAATATACTAGAAAAACCCTGCAAAGCTATCAGAAAAGGGAGGACTCAGAATGTCACTAGACATTCAAGAACCTGAATCTCAGCTCTTCCATTTGCATCTCATGGGCTTTGAATAAGTCATTCCACTTGTCTTCATTCCTGGAGTTATTATTGACCATTTGTACAGAGCAAATTATTACTGCTCATTTATACTGCTTGGAGCAAAACAGGTGGCCAGTCAGTGGTGTGAATTCTTGTAAATTCTGCTTCCATGTAATAATGAAACTGCCTTCTTCTGGGGGAAAGACAGATATTATATTTTCTTCTCCTTTTTTCTAATTTTCTTTGGCCTCTCTCACTGGGGGGTGGTATCTATTTGTTGTTTGTCTCACTATCTAGCTTAAGGGTTGGCTTCAAACTTGCAATCTCCTACCTCAGGGCAGTCAAACACAATCTCGCCCAGCCTCCACATTGTCTCAGGTGTCTGGTATGTAAGGTGCTCAGAGTCTGCCTTTTTTGTTGTTTTTGTTTTGTTTTGTTTTGCCACTGTAGAGAAACAACATGCACCTAATCCATACAGGAGTTGGGAAACCTTGGGCTGGATTAAGACCAAACCAGAGCCTGTCTACCTCAGCTCTGTGCTCTGTGCTTCAAGTTAGAAGAGACAGAAGGGCTTTTAGATAATGAGAATTCTAATAACAGTGCAACTTAGATAGATTCCTTGGCTGGTGCTATGACAGTGCTTGAACAGGACCCCTGCTTTAATTAACCATTTGCCAGGTGGCCTTCCTTCTTAATTAGTACAGGAGATCTAAGCAGATTTTTTTCATTTTATTTTTAAGGAAAATATATATATATGTGTGTGTATATACATACATACATACATACATATGATGGCTCCCTGGCAGTCTTGGAGTGGGAATTAATTTATACCCAATTGTTTCCAAAATGGTCAGGCAGTCACCCAAATATAGGCAGCTGGTCAAGAGTGTAGCCCACTGAACAGTATTTCCTCCCAGGAAAACTGAATTATCAGTCTTACAATAGATATGGTCCAGACCAATCTTAGACTTTCCTAGTTCTCCGCGAGTGGAATAGTGAAATTAGAAGCCACTTCAGTAATCCATGAGCTCTTTATACAATAAGCCAACAAAAAGGAAAAAAAGACCTGAGACGCCTCCAGAATGAGCTGATTTGCAGGTCTGGCCACATGCTTGGTTGGCTTGTGTACCACAAAGTAAAGAAATTTGTCACAACAAATTCTGCCTTGGATACTATTAAATTTTAAATCATGTGTTTGTCATGAGAGCTGGGGACTTGGTTTCTCTAACACTGAGGCTGATTAATCCCATGACTTCCATTTGGCATAAATTCCAGATCGATTTTCTAGCCTATGAAATCAGGAAAGAAAAAAAAAATCAGTGCAGCAAGTATCAATAGGAATGGCCGGCACTAAATGGTAATCTGGGGCCAAGAAGCCAGTTTGCATGTGAATTCCTTTTAATATTGATGTGCAATATTTCAGTGCACTCCAAGTTTCCAGACTGTTCCACCCCGCTCCCAGCCATGCTGAGACAGTGCCAAAGCTCATTAAAATTGACACAACTTGCCTACCATAGCTAAGACCCCCTCATCAGCAAGACCTCCCTGTTACTTTCTCTAGAGTGGCTGTTGACTGAATAGCCTTTTCAAGTCCTTGTCACTGTGTAGCAGGCGTGCTTAGCTTTGTGTGACACCTGGGAGATTCAGTTATTAAAACAATAAGGCAAACCATGTCATTGGGAAGCAATCTTAAGGCTACCATCCTCATGCAACAGGTTGTCACTGGGTGGTGTGTCCTGCTCAGACTCTGGTTGGCCCCTGACCAGCAAGCCACCAGATTTCCTTGGCAGTTAGTCACATCCCCACTGCTGTAGTAACTAACAGTGCCCCCGACTTTGAAGTGCCCAGTCTAGGGTATAGAATCCTGAACACAAAGGAGGCCTCAATAACTGAATGCGGGTTAGGGAATAAAACTCCTTGCAAAGCCATCTTCTCATTACCCATCTGAGTAGCTCACAAGTTTAGTCTCTTTGGTGTCTGGGTCCCCTAAACAAACATAAAGGAGGAGGGAGAGGAGGAGGAGGCAGCTGCCCAGGCCCTGTGGGATTACTGTCCCTGCTCTCCAGTGAGCCCAGGAGGAAAGCTGGTAGCCAACATTACAGCAGAGCTCCTGTGGGGGACTCCCAAGCAGCTTTACTGGGAGTACTTCTAGCGCTGTTTCTACTGAGGAGTGACCTCTCACTCAACATTCACTTGCTTGTGGTTTCCCAGTTTCCTCCTGAAATTATCCCTTTCTGCCAAGGGGTCAGGAGGCTTAACTCTAAAACCCCTGATGACAAACTCAGATGGTCTGCATTTTATCTGGGAAAGGTACATAGCAGAGGTCACCTCTGCGTACCCATGTGTACTCCAGCTCTACAATAGTGCTTCATATTCCAAGCTGTCCAAGTGAAGTTGATGTCACATGCCCACATGGGACTGAAAGTTGTGACTGGAGGCAGCACACCTTAATGACAAACTCCTAGGAGCAGGAGAGGCTAGAGAAATGTGGCAGTGAGTGTAAAGGGTGACTGAGCAAAGGTGTCCTGTGACATAGGCTCAAACTGGCTCTTTCTGAAGTCTTTACCTGCACTCCAGGAACAATGATGGGCTGTTGGCACTTGCTCATTATTAGCTGAAAGCCAGAGGCTAAGACAGGAGAGTTCCAGACAGCCTGGCCCAGTCTGAAAGCTCCAGGCCAATGAGAGACTCTATTATGAGAAACAACACAGGTGTCTCCTGAAGAATATATGAAGTTGATTTTTTTTGCCTCCACATGCACCTGCAATCATGCACACATGCACACCCTCCCATGCGTGCATGTACACACACAAGTACACACACACACACCTTTTAATTTTAATGATGGTACCACATTTTCAAAATAGAACACGTGCTGTGGATGTAGTTTATTAGCATGAATGTGTTTACACTGAACCACCAGCCTCCTCTATGAAGCATCATTGCATAGCTTCTTTCTAATGTTAAGGCCGCTGTCATCCCCATCCTCCAAATACCCAGTCCATCATTGTCTCGACGCTGTCGTAGAGTCTTGTCTCCAGATGTATTTCCTGGTGTTGGCTCTGTCCTCCCCACGGCTGTACCATGTGACCCCACAATACCTCATTTGCTTCAATTTAGCTATGTAGTTAAACTTTGTGGCTTAGTTGCTTTTCCTGCTGCTGTGATAAAATGCTCTGATGAAAGGGAGAAAGGGTTTATCTTGGGTCAAAGTTCAGAGGTAATCCATCATGGTAGAGGAGTCTTTCTGGCAGGAACTTAGGCAACTGCTCACACTGTGTCCCCAGCCAGGAAGCAGAGAACACTTAGTACTCTTGTTCTGTTCACCTTCTTTCTGTGCATTCCAGGACCTGAGCCCAGGGCCTAGGGCTGCCTACTTTAGGGTGGGTATTAGCACCTCATATAACCTGTTCAAGGTGATTCCTCTGGATGCCTAGAGGCTAACCTATTGAAAGTGATCCCTCACAGGTGTGCCTGGAGGCTTGTGGGTCCAGATCCTGGTAAGTTGACAGCCACACTAGCCATCACACCATGTGTCACTGTTTAGATAAAGCCCTCAAGTGGATCCAGGACTAAGTCAATGTTTGGGATTAAAATGAGTTGAATCTGCTGTAGCTTTCTAAATGCCACATTCAAGTTCAGAGTGAAAGCTTAACTCTGTGCACTCAGAAAAATGTTATTGGTGTTATAGTGAACTAAATCCAGAGTCTTGGGACAAAGTAAAAGTTCAGTCTCTACTAACACTGCCTGTTTGTCTACTGAGGCCAACAGGAACGGAGCTCCAGTGAGGGGTCAGTAGCCATCAGGGCTGAAATAGAAAAGTAATCACAACATAGGATTACAGCAGAACCTTTCCTCATCATCTGGTTCATGTGGTAGTTTAAATCAGTTTCCAAGAGGCAAAATACACATCCTTGAACAACTCACAAACTGAAAGGTCATCCACAGACTATATGGGTGTATGTTGTGACTTGAGACCTTCCTCCTGGGAACTGAGTTACTAGACTGCCATTACCTACTCTCCTTCCCAAGCCTAACCACTAGGTTTTCACCTTCTATTTGTTTCTAAGTATTCTTTAAAAGAAATAGAATTCATCATGTTTACCTTGACCAGGATATTGTTTTTAAAATGGTTCCCAAAATGGTTCTGTGAAATGTTATACTTCAAAGACATCATAGAAAAGGAACCCAGTTCCTTTACTGGGTGAGATATTGAGCTCTAGAGTTGCTTGTCACCTAGCAACTAATTTAAAAGCATGGAACAATGCAATAACAATTTAAAATGTGCTAAGGAACAGTTTGTCATGGAAAAATGTCATTTCTGATGCATCGTTGTCTTCCTTTGTGTTTGGTCAATAGCTGTTATTTGCAACAATATAGAACTTGCCTATTACACGTGAAAACTTTAAAACATTGCTAAAATAAAGTTCCCAAAGTTGAGGAACGTTTTGAATACTGTTTTCATGATCCATTTCTCCTTCTCATCCAGGGTTCAGAAATAATAACAGGGAATGTGAGAGACGGCACATACTTCCGGCTGTACATTAACAAATATAAGTTGGTGGAGGCCATCACATGCCTCTCAAAGGAGCCTTTCCCAGTCTCCAACTACATCCGCTTGTTTGGACAGCATGAGCAAGTCCTCAACAACCTGTGTACTCGTTTTGATGACAAGCTGATTCCAGATCTCTACAGGTAAGCTGGACATTGCCTTTCACTGTGGGTACATATGGTTATATGTGACGTTTCATGCGGGAGGGATGTGTGTCATGATGCAACAGGGAGTGGAATAAGAATTATTGAGAGGCTGGAGCGGCTGAGATTGCTTTGTCACAGAATAATGAATATCAGCCATTGGCTGGGGAGCAAAGGTTCACATGAGGAAGTACATGAATGTGTCCACACCGGGCCTGGACCTGAACCTCAGAGGCAACAACACATGATGTTGATGTAATGAAAGTGCGAGGTGAGATGATACTCCAGTCCCTTTCCACATGGGGCTGCTAAGAGCAGCAGTCTGACCCTAAAAGAAAGGTTGAAGGTCAGGATGTGGAAGAACCTGGTCCCATTAGGAATTCTGTAACCACTAGACAGGCTGCTTACCATCCTAGCCTTTCTCCTTCCAGCATGTGGATGACTGTTTATGAGGGATATCAGTGAGAAGATTTCTGCCCTGGCAAGCCACACTGTAGCCTTTTTCAGCCCTTTTACAATTTTACACAGTTACAAGGTTACACAGCTCTTTTACACAGTTACACTGATAGCTAAATTACACACACAACAACAACAACAACAACAAAGAAAGAAGATTACAGACCAATATCCTTTATGAACATAGATGCAAAAATTCTCAATAAAATACTTACAAACTGAATCCAAGAACACATCAAAAAGATCATCCATCATGATCAAATAGGCTTCATCCACGAGATGCATAGATGGTTCAACGTATGTAAACTGATAAATGTAATCACATAACTAGACTGAAAGACAAAAACATCATGATCATCTCATTAGATGCAGAAAAGGCCTATGACAAAATCCAACACCTCTTCATATCAAAAGTGATTTACAGCAAGCCCACAGCCAACATCAACCTAAATGGAGAGAAACTCAAGGCATTCCCACTAAAATCAGTAAGAAGATAAGAATGTTCACTCTCTCCATACCCATCCCATATAGTACTTGAAATTTTAGATAGAGTAATACGGAAACTGAAGGGGGTCGAGGGGAAAATAGGAAAAGAAGAAGTCAAATTATTTTTATTTGCAGATGATAACATTGAATACATAAATGACCATAAAAACTCCACCAGGACAATTCTGCAGCTGATAAACACTTTTAGTAAAGAGGCAGAATACAAAATTAATATGTAAAAATCAGTAGCCTTCCAATATACAAATGATAGAGTAAGTTAGAAATCAGGGAAACTATTTTTCACAGTAGCCTATATATATACATGATACCTGTAACCAAGCAAGTGAAAGACTTATAGAATAAAAACTTTATAGCAGGTTTTATTATAGGCATGTCAAGTTCCATGAAAAAAAATTCCATTGGACTTGATGGAAAATGAATCAAATCTTAGATCAGTTTGGTAAAAGTTGTCATCTTTGCTATTGGCCCCAATATCATAGCAAAGTATAAGTTTCAAATTATTTAGGATGCCTTGAGGAAGACATGTCATTTTATAGTACAAAGCCACTTCTGAATGCAGCTGCCTTATAGGAAGGTGGGGAGAACTTTTTTTGTCTGTGTAAAACAAGATGGTCAGATCCAATACCTAACACAGTCTATAAAACAGGATTTGAGTGCCTGCCCATATCATAAGCCTTCCATCCTAAAAATTTTAAATTACAGAAAGTGTCATGCAAGCAAAAAAAGGTATGTGAGACATTCATGTATGCTTGAAGTGAAAATAATACTGGAAACCTGTGTGTCTGCCACAAGGCATTCCCCTCTCTGGTCATACTAAGCCATACTAAGACTATCATTTTGGAAGGCAGACACCATTTTAAAGTTAGGGTTAGTCTTGTCTTGTCTTTTCTTTTCTTTTTTCCTTTCTTTATTGGTTTTTTGAGGCAGAGTTTCTCTGTATTGCTTTAGAGGTTGTCCTGGAACTCGCTCTGTAGATCAGGCTGGCCTCGAACTCACAGAAAGCCACCTGTCTCTGCCTCCCAAGTGCTGGGATTAAAGGTGTGCACTCTGCCAGGCAGAGTTAGTCATTTTGTTTCCTGTGGAACTTTTTGATATAGGAACAGATACAGTCTTTGTCAGAAGTTCTCAACTTTGCTTTTAAAATGAGAAAGCACCTTCAACTTCAAATGACATTTGAGCATAAGCAAATGGACACAGCATGGCCTAATGAAGCATCATATTCCACAGTAGACACTGACTGGATTTGATCCAATGGTTGTAGTTTGCCAACCGTTATCTCATACATGTATGCAGTGTGTGTGCATGCGTGTGTGCGTGCATCTGTGTAAGTGCATGCTTATATATCTATCTATATATTATATGTTTATATATAAATAATTTCCTAAATAATATTAATTTGTTTGCCTCCTTTTGAGAAGAAGGTGTGGTGTGCTAACTGTGTCACTATTCATTCACGGATTTTCCTTCTGGTTGTTGTCTTAAGTTCTGTATGCTGTTACAAAGAGTTCCGTGGCCACCAAGAACATACTTCATGTACAGAATCTCTCTAAGAGTGTCACAGCCCTGTAAATGTGTAGTCTTGGCATGTGTAGTCATGCTTGTCTACACAACCTTGCAGTGAGAGTTCCTGTCCATCCATCATACATTGGGAATGTTCAGACTTTAAAATTAGACCAGTTTGGTCATATACAAATATACCTTGTGGACTTTCTTCGTTCTTCTCTGATGACTGATGCAGCTAAGTGTCTTTTTATTTGTTGATAGGACACCTATGATAGTACCTTGTGGACCATTCTTAAAAATACCCCCAGAGGGCTGATATACTCTGGTTGCAAATTTGTGTTAGTCACATATTTTGACTGTTTCTTGTATTGCTTTGAAACCACTCTTTTTTATATAATGGCAATTAATATATATTCTTAATTTAATGCAATCTCTCAATACCTTCTTCAAGGATCTCCTGGATATTTTTGTTCCTTTGCTCTTCCAAAAGTTTTATAATAAACACATCGTGTTCTATGAAAATATTCATAGGATTTGATGAACAGTGAATTAAATCCTTGCTTAATTAGGCAAGGACTGACCCTTTTGATATTGATTATAACTTTATAACATAAGGTAAGTATCAATTTATTTAGATAATCTTTCATGGCAAAATAAAATTTTATAATTGTCTTCATAAATGACATGCCCATTTTTTTGTCTGACATCATCCCAAGGTGTTGTATAATTTTATTGTTGCTATAAACACCATTTTATTTGGGTTGATGAAATGGCCCAATGAGTAAAGCGCTCACTGTGCAAGCCTGATGACCTGAGTTCGATCCATGGAAACTGCATAAAGGTAGGAGAGAATAAATTCTACAGTGTTCTCTGACCTCCACCCTGCACTATGACACACACCCACCTGCTCATGCATGCTTGCATGCTCTTGTGTTCTCTCTTTCATAATGATTAATTAATTAAATTCAGAGCATCACTCTTGTTGATTGTTGCTGGTATAGAGGGATTCCCTAATTTTTTTTTTTTTTTTTTTGTAGTTCTGTGTCCTGCAAATTTGCTGAAGTCCTTCAGTCATTTAAAGAAATTTAAAGAAAAAAGTCACCTACAAATCCTTTTAAGTTTTCCACATAGATAAGATTGTATTCTTTGCAAATAATGTCAATTCTTATCTGATCACAAATTCTGTTTGTTTTTCTTGTCCTACTACACAGGCTAAGATATGTAGCCTAAATTACTGAGGAGTAGTAGTTAGGGTTGCCACCTTTGGCTCATTCCTATCTTATAATGTGTTCATTATTAAATGTATGACATTTTCCATATTGTTTGTGTCCTTTATTGAGCAAAGGATCCTTCTGAAGACTGTGTTTCTAAGGTGTGTGTGAGTGTGTGTGTGTGTGTGCGCGCGCACACACACTTTCAAGTGTGCACACACAACAGATTGAACCCTATGGTCTTGTACATATCAAGCACGCCCTCTGTCCCAAATCTGCATTTAAAAAAATTACAAATAGATTCTTGCTTTCTTCCAAAAGGAGTGCTTAATTCTAGAAATGTTTTACATATCAGAAAAGTTTCCTAATGCTTTCAAAGATAATCCCTCTTTTTATAAACTATCAAATTCTTTTATCATAGGTTTTCCCTTTTTCAAAAGTTTTTAGACTTGACTGATATGCTGTCTTATATTCCTTTGGGTAAATACCCAGGAGTATTAGTATTGGAGTCATATTGTAGAAAAACCTCTGTACTGGCTTCCATTATAGCTAGACCAACAAGGCCAATGATGGTGTGAATTCTCTTTTGTCTACAGCGTTGTCAGCATTTATTGTCTGAAAGAATGCCATTCTGGTTGGGTAAAGTGTTACTTTAATTTGCATTCTTCTGTTGGCTAGTGTGACCGTTTTTTCATATGTTTATTGATCATTTGCATTTTACCATTGGAGAACTAAATTGTTCATTTTATTAACATTTATTGAGTTGCTTTGTTTCTTGTTGTTTATGTTTTCTAGTTCTTTGTAAATTCTAGATATTAATCTTCAGTAGATATGTAGGTTACAAAGATTTTACCCCCATCCAATTTCCTGTCTCTAAACTACATTAATTGTTTACTTTGATGTGCAGACTTTAAATTTCATGAGGTTCCACTTGTTAGGTGTTGACATTGTCTCATGAGCAACTGGAGTCCTAGTCCTTGCCCGTGTCTGTATCTTGAAGTGTCTTCTCTCTTTGTTACATTAAAGCCTTCAGTCCATTTGGAGTTGATTTTCATACAGGGTGAAAGATAGAGTCTGGCCATGGATGAGTACCATGCTATTTTTCTTACTGTGTGTCTCTAGTATAACTTGAAATCAGATATGGGATACCTCTAACATTCTTATTGTTAGAGATTGTTTTCCTCTCCAGGGTCTTTTTACTGCCATGAGTTTTAAGGTTTATCTTTTTAATATCCATATTTAAAAATGTCATTGAAAATGTTGATGATGGTTTCATTGAATTTGTAGATTGCTCTTGACTATTTTCACAATATTAGGTCTAAG